GGTAGTATTTTGGTAGTGGTGGTGTGGTGGCTGTGATGACGATGGTGGTAACGGTGGCGGTGTCGGTGGTATGGTGTTTGCGGATTGCGATTGTGGTGGCAGTATAATAAGAAAGTGTTTGTGACCTATTATTTGGGGGATCGTGACCAACTGTCCAACTGTCGAGAGTTGGTGGTGGTGGTGATTTTGGTGGCAACAGTGGTGGTGAGATAGTGGTCACAAGTGTTGATGGTAGTTACAAATTATTTGGTTGACCGTGACCATTAAATTGGTTAATCTGTAACCAATAAACAATATGGAACCAATTAAAAATATAAATTGTGATCAAGAAATAACGTGCGACATAAGAAATTGTTAATATGTGATCGATAAGTTGATAATTTGTGACTGCATAATAAGTTGTGACTTCAAAAATCTGTGATTTGTGACCAATAAATAAATCGTGACTTATAATTTTTTTGATTTGTGACCGATGAAGAAACTGTGACCTATAAAATTTTTGAATTGTTATCATAAAATAATTTGTGACATAAATTTTTTGATTTGTGACCAAAAAAATAATAACTAAATAACTAAATCATTAATTGTGACAAAATTGTATTAATCAGTGACCTAAATATATTTAATCAATAAAATAATTAATTAATTAATTAAATCATAAATAAAAATCTGATTTTTGAAGTTTGAAAATATTTTCTTAATTTTGAAATATATGATAGTTAAACTCTTACTTATGAAATTTTTCCATTATTCATTAGAGGCCGTAGTTGTTGACATTGTATACAATACACACCGGACAGGCCCAAACAAAGTCCAAGAAGCCGATTCCAAAGACCCATTTGCAAACCAAACCCTCTCAAACTCGAAGCATATTCCGTTTTCTCCAGGGACTCCAATTCTCTGCGGGAAAATACGGATACTTTACTTTGATCCCTGTTTCTCCTTCACAAACTTCATCGAAAAATAGATTTTCTTCAACTGAATCCAATATTCTGTCTTTCTACAGCTACAAATAAAAGCCCTCAATTTTTTTAAGTTCTAAAGTTTTATTCAAATTGGTGTTTGCATTAACGATCGATTCTGTATATATATACACTGCCTATGGCTCTTCCTCTCGGCAAGCTCACTCTCATCGTTGGAGCAGGTCCATACACATTTAATTTTATTTTGTTACTTATTATCCTTTTTTCAATTGAATTCTGTTCTCAGTCATCTGTTTGGTTGAGATACTGATTTTTTGCTGTGATAACCAATTGATGCCCTTTTAGCTTACGGGACGCAACCCTTTACGCTTTAGTTGGTGTTATTTTGGTCTATTACATGGCTTTAGTAGGAAGCAGCACAGCTTTGCTTAGAACATAGCCATCTTATTTTTTTTCAGGCCTTGCCGGGTCAATTCTTGCTAAGGAAGGACGCATATCTGACGTGTCTGGATTTTTCTCTGGTGCTTTTAAGGTACTTCCTGTTTTGGCAACTAGATCTATGTATGGCAGTCTATAGACTCTATGTATGGCAGTCTTGCTGATGAAACTTCTGTAAATGTTGTTAGAGTTAATCTTGCTACGCATTTTATTTGATGGCAGATTTTGAAGAAACTACAGCGAGATGATTCAACCATTTCAAATGCCAAACCAAAGAATGATTCTTTGTTGCGACAGGTTTACAATTTGTTTAATTGTAACCGTATATACACATATTTTCATTTTCTTTTGTTTTATATTTAGAGGCGTTTCTTTGGGATGTACCTTATAATTTTTTGTCTTTGAACCTTATCTTTCTTAATATTGATCGTTGACATGACATCTTTACACTATTATGGATTTCAAATTGAATTTTTGCATAGAGTGGGATTGGAATGCCTTTTATGATTTTTTATATTTGTGATTTGCTCAGGTTTAAGTTGATGCTGAGTATTACTTAAAATGCCTTGTTTCCATGCTATTAAGTATTTAGCAGTTAGCATCGCATCAATCACCATTTCTCATGTTTAAAAAAATGCCTGAGATGGCCTTTCAAAGCTCTCTTTGATTGAAAATCATCCAAGTATATTGTTACCGAGATACTAAAATACTCAAGGTCAAGTACCAATAAAATATGAAACTTTTGTACCCCAGGAAACATTAAGAACTTAGGTACCAATACAAGGAAACATCAAGAACTCAGGAGTTTGGTGTAAAAACAACTTTGCATTGTGTTTCAACATACTTTGCTTGGACTCGGGTACGGGTGTCGAATACTTCTCTAGGAGTCAATCATTTTTCTTTTAAAATCTAGGATATGGGGATATAACTAAAAAGAGTCCAAAATTTGGACATAGTTACATGCATATTCCTTTCAAACTTAAATTATTTGTTGACATTTATATACTAATAATGTTAGGTGCATTTTTAGGGATATATAAATATGTATATCATATATCTCATATGTTTTGACTATGAATTGGTAAAAAAGATTGTAAATTATAATACTTCATTTGGGTGATAGTATTTTATAATTGTAAAAAAATATATAATTTTTTTGCAAGGTACTGTTGGTTGCTGATTGAATACTATAAATTGTTAATTGAATTCATTGGGGCTAGCATTAATCGGCTGGTTTCTTGGCATAAGAAATTGCTGTTAATGCTTATAAATATCTTGGCCAGTTCTTTCAAAATAGTGCTTTAAAAAATGGGGTCCAAGCTTCTTTAGAGGCTGCTTTTTTATCAATTATTAGCGCCTGTGATTAGGGTTTGTCTTGTCGTAGCTGTTTACTGGTTCTCTTCAACAACTTTTTTTCCATCTTCATGCCATATCATCATCAGATTTGAAGGATCCAAGCCGGATCCTGTACCCGTGTTGGGTACTTCACCCATTCTGAAAGTCCGAGCATCACCCATTTCCACCCCCCATGCTAATTGAGAATTAAAGTATCATGTGCAAAGAGAGTAACCGCGTCATGGGTAAAAGAATTATGTGGCTCTTATTGTTACAACTTAGTCTAATGGAAGAATGCTACAAAATATGATTCTAAATGTTGGATGTTGCGATATTAAGTGTGTTTACTGGAAAATGATGATAGATGGAGTCAAGAAAAAGTACGTAATTACATGTAATATATGGTGAGTTCAACTGTTGTCCCACATGAAACTTATGCATCCATGGCCCTCATATCACTGTGATATTCCATGTCTATGAATTACTAAAGTTTGAGCACCCCTTACCACATTTTTTTGTTACATGTTCTTACTGCAGAAACTGAAAGAATATTTGATTTGTACAGGTTAATAGCTTGAGGGAGGAGCTGCAACTGTTGGCATCAAGTAGATCTGTTACCATTGTTACATCAAATACTTCAGGTTTCTGTTGTCATAAATTCATATTTCGCATGAAAGCAATGATAATGTAATGCATCTTTCTGGAAAACCAGCTCAAAAGATTTTTGTTTCCTCAACAGATTAAGATTTAGTGCAATGATATAAATCTATTTCATGAAACTTTTGTTAATGTAACATCACATATAAAATCATTTTCCTTAACAGATTAGGTTCTAGTGCAAGGATAAGTAACTTTGTCATGAACCCAACTGTTTTCATTATCATCTTAATATCTAAAGGCAAAGATTAGATTTTTTCTTTTCTCAGTATTCATATTAAGCATAAAATACTATTAGAATTCTCCCACTTTCGTGGTAGTCGTAACCTCTGATCTGGAACCGTCAATATTAATTAAGTTAAAATGTGTACCATGAATTTGGAACGGTGAAATCATTTTGTCATCTCTTCATGAAATTTAGGTGGTATCAGTATTATGTTTATAAGCTCCTGTTTGGCCC